GCAATGGGTATATGGAAAAGTTGTGCGAATTTGTGAGTACTTCATGTCCGCATCATACTAGCACTCCAAAATAAGTGATGCTGTTTACCCCATATAAGGTAATTTTACTGTTGTGCAAACCTTTTGTGCTTTCACAGAGCCGAATTTCAGCCATATTGCCTATGCTGTCACCGGGCACCTGTGATCAGAAAGAAGGCACAAATTTACTGGCACTACTGCCAAAATGAAACTCCAGTGCAGGACCTGCTGTTCGTGATTGTTCTCTTTATCAACCGGACAAAAGCGTACCAGATATTCAACAGTCCTCTTCCCCCTTGAGTTATACAAGCTAGCAAACTCTGTCCCTGCAAATAGGGTGTCAGTCTAACTGGTCTAGGTGAATAAAAACTAGTACGTTCTCATCTGATCAAGGAAGATACGCATTCGCATGTTACGGCGGCGGTTAGTTTAAACTAGACATACGGTGGATTACTGTGCCTAGCCTCCTTCTTTCACTGGACTATGTTACCTTCCATATGCGTTTCAGCACCACAAGATTTGTCTCAGTTGTATTGTATTTAAATGTGAGGTGAAACGATTGGCTAGCTCAAGTCTGATCGAAAGGAGCTTAACAAGGTGGACAACTAGGGCATCAGTCCTATTTATGGCAAAAAATCTTCGAGATGCCCATCAACTGCCAAAACTGGATGAATCGCGTAGGTACTTTCCACTACGTTGCCTTCTTTTTGCGTGGAAATAAACCATTTTGGAAACAAGGTAGCCTCTCTGGTTTATTGAGGTCTGTTTATACAAACGGGGCTTGCAATGGGGAACCGTTACGTGTCCGCAAAATTACCTTGTAGCTTCAGGTATTTTATCATAGGATAATTCTGAAAGACGTTTGTAGCAGGATCAGGCTTCATTTGATCACTGCAACCGATACTGCTGTGCATTGTCCCCTAGTCTCACCGCTAATCATGATTGCAGTCGGGTGGAACATTAGGGAAACTTGCACCTGCATAGTTACGTCATACGGCACGCGAGTTCAGTGTTTCTGCTTACCTGAAACGATGAAGATCCTATGGCCTTAAAAGCAGTCGTACGTAAAGAACATAGTAAAAATAGTCGAATAAATTTGTACAATTTTCGCCAAGAGTTCCCATGTTAGACTCCTCAAGTTAGCACGGCAAAATGAAGAACAAGATGGGTGTGAAATACCCCTGTGAATCAACGGTGAACAAAGTTACCATCCCTTGTTTTCTGACTACTCATGAGTAACATGACTTACACCTGTTTATCATGACACCGTTTCGTTTTCTTGCTGCTCGTTTCCCACCCGCTTTGTTCCTACTTAAGGTCTGCTTATCCCTCAGTAAGCGATGTCAATATTTGTTGCCCGTCTGTCATTGCCTGGAAGTTCGCCTCGATTGCACCTATTTTTTGAGCGCCCACTCCGACGGAAAGGCAGCTGACCGGGTATGGAACCCGGATCCCCCGGACGGCAGGCGAACGCGCTGCCGACCACACCAGCCTGACGCCTATGGCACTGATTATCTTGTACTACCCATGTATCGGGCCTGCCAGATAACCCTTGCTGAGCTTTGTTTTAAACGGACGAAACCGCGCAATCTGAACTGTCGCGCGACACGAACGGCTGCGTCGACGCCGACCGAAGGACAATCCCTCACATCCCGAACGTACTGACTCCTGCGCCGTTACGGCCAATTAACACTGTCAGACTGCCCTATATGTATGTCTGCACATTGTTTGGTACTTACTTGCTGTTGCCCCTATAGAAATCCGTGCTGCGTCAGTGACTACTTCCCGCTCCTGCTGATTGCGTCATTGTTGATTGTACGTTTTCTGAATTCATGATGCTTACTAATCCGTTTATCTGTAGAACCAGTTCCTCTCAGTCCTCAATATATCATCTGCTGCCCACGTCCGTCTGCTCCTATTGACTACTGGCTGCAAACTGCGTATGATTCAATAGTCGCAATCGTCCTGTGAGATCCATAACCCTCCGGACCTTACAAAGTTAATCAACAGTTTCCGCAATTAATCAACATTATCCCAGTTAATCAACACTCGCAGAGTTTACCAACACTCGCGCATTTATTCAGTAATGCAATTTAGCCGGCGTTTTGCCGTGTCTGACGAAAATTCTGCCGACCTTCCTCCACTCGATTNGCATGGACCATTCGACAGCTCCCGTCGATCACTCAAACCCAACCAACGAGAGAGCGGTGGTCTAAATGGGATCACTTGAAGGGAATCCCATTCGAGGATGCCGGGAGCCAAACACTACACCTATTGATTGGGATGGACGTACCGATGGCACATTGGGTGCTAGAAAGCCGAACGGGCTGGCCAAACGATCCTTACGCCAATCGAACACCACTCGGCTGGGTCCTTTTTGGGCCGGTAAATGATACGAACGACAGGTTGGCTCGAATCAACCAGCTCAGCTGCCATGTGGAAGACCGTCTGGATTCAACGTTAGAAGCCACGACCAACATCGAGTTCAGAAACCCAATATCATACGAGTGCTCATCGTCACAGGCTGATGAACAGGCATTATCTGTTGTAGAGTCTTCCCTGAAACCGACGGATAAACGTCATGAAATTGCTCTGCCCTGGAAGGCGGGCTGTTTGAGGTTACCGTCAAATTATCCCATTACTCGCCAAAGACTCAACCCTCTTGGTAAGAGATTCACCACGGACGGACATTACGATCTCGATATGAAAGCCATTAATAAATACCTGGTCAAAGGATATGCTGAACCTGTCAATCACCATCCCAAGACTGAACGCGCTGGACGAGTTCGGTACTTGCCACGTCATATGGTGGTCCACTCTCACGACCCTAGTGAGGTGAGAGGTGTTCCCGATCCTGCATGTCAAGTCCAAGGGAACTCACTGAAGTTGCAGCTGATCAATGATCTAGCCATCGCGAATAGTCCACTCTTAATCTCTCTCCGTTTCCGCCAGCACAGGCAGGTGGTTACGACAGCATTGCGTCAATGTTCCGGCAAGTGAAGATACCCGAATCGGTCAGAGACGTGTTGCGATTCTTATGGTAGAAGCACGGCCATATTGAACACCCCCGAAGACGTACCATATGACTGTACATCCCTTTGGCACAACTCCGTCTCCCATCTGCGCCAGTTTCGCCCTGAGGCATACCATCAAGCGCCATGCTAGTACGTCGAGCCACGACAAGTCATCAGCAGCCGAACGGGAATTTTATGTGGACGATTTGCCACTTAGTGCCACTTCTTCGGAACGTCTTGCGACCATCACCTTCAAGTTGAAGGTAGCCCTGGAAGCCCGTGGATTCCCACTGACGGAATGGTCGACGAACGAACCTAACCTTTTGGCTAAAATCACCGTCGACGATCGTGCAGATCTGCAACCTGATTCGTGGCGTAGGACACTTGAGGTTCAGTGGGGCATACCGACTGACGAATTCCTGTTTGAAGTGGATATCCGGCTCGAAACTCCCACGAAACAAAGAATACTGTCACTTATAGCCTCTCCACACTACACCATTGGATTCATCTGCCCGGCTCTGCCACCAAGGAGACACTTCACCGCACTTATCATCAAATATTACCAAGAAAGATATGACCGCGTGGGCTTTGGACAAGTACCGGCAACTGTGCATAACAGATGCTGGGTTTTGCGAGGGCGAACCGCCGTCAGATGCGCCTTTTCGTCCAGTTGTCGCCGCCGTTCATGGTTGCGGCCACTGTGCTACCAAATGCTGCCATTCCTACCATATGAACGAACCAACTGCACTCGTAAAACGTAAAATAAGGGCATGGTGCCAATGTCTTCAGCACGAATACGGCTGGGCGTTCTCCATACAGAAAGAAAGTCATCGTAGAGACAGAGCAGCTTATGAGTCTGCAGGTTCAATGCCCGCGCAAAACAGTGGCTCGGGAAGTGTTGACTCCCCCTGCGAATCAACGGTGAACAAGGGTAACTTCCCTTGTTTTCTGACTACTCATGAGTAACATGACTTACACCTGTTTATCATGACACCGTTTCGTTTTCTTGCTGCTCGTTTCCCACCCGCTTTGTTCCTACTTAAGGTCTGCTTATCCCTCAGTAAGCGATGTCAATATTTGTTGCCCGTCTGTCATTGCCTGGAAGTTCGCCTCGATTGCACCTATTTTTTGAGCGCCCACTCCGACGGAAAGGCAGCTGACCGGGTATGGAACCCGGATCCCCCGGACGGCAGGCGAACGCGCTGCCGACCACACCAGCCTGACGCCTATGGCACTGATTATCTTGTACTACCCATGTATCGGGCCTGCCAGATAACCCTTGCTGAGCTTTGTTTTAAACGGACGAAACCGCGCAATCTGAACTGTCGCGCGACACGAACGGCTGCGTCGACGCCGACCGAAGGACAATCCCTCACATCCCGAACGTACTGACTCCTGCGCCGTTACGGCCAATTAACACTGTCAGACTGCCCTATATGTATGTCTGCACATTGTTTGGTACTTACTTGCTGTTGCCCCTATAGAAATCCGTGCTGCGTCAGTGACTACTTCCCGCTCCTGCTGATTGCGTCATTGTTGATTGTACGTTTTCTGAATTCATGATGCTTACTAATCCGTTTATCTGTAGAACCAGTTCCTCTCAGTCCTCAATATATCATCTGCTGCCCACGTCCGTCTGCTCCTATTGACTACTGGCTGCAAACTGCGTATGATTCAATAGTCGCAATCGTCCTGTGAGATCCATAACCCTCCGGATCCTATAATGGGATTATTTTACAGACGAAATCATGAAAGCATATTAACTGGGGTTACAAAGTCGATGCTAATCTTCGGTGGGGTATACACCTGAAATCAGCTTAAATTCGCTGTTGAGGAATACGTGCACCTCTCTTGTATAGGATGCCTCTGTGTGCCACTAAAAGAGAAAACTGAAACCTATTGTTTTCCAATACATTCGATTTCTCAGACGGCCTTTTTGATGATTAAGTTCAAGACCATTTCAGTGGGCACAGAGACAGAACTTTTACTACGCATTTTGTTACATCACTTCTCATATGCAGTGCTATTAGGATTCAAACTTTGAAACATTCACGAGTTTTGTTAAGAATCTTCTCATATGCTGGCCATAGTGGTCGTATGAGAAGAAACTTGGCTGACGTCAACTGGTTGTCCTGCGAGAACTGGCCTCCACCATAAGTGTTATCGAGGTCGCTCAGATGTCAGGATCTAAAACAAAACACGAAAACGATTATCACAATTCAAAACACGCAGTAAAGTGAAATACTCCCCCATCAAATCGCACGCGATCTTGTACTTTCGAGAATAAATACAGTACAAAAGGAGGTACATAAATGTGATACCAGTCCTGCCCAAAATGCAAGTTTAAACTATAAAAAATTGACCACCAAACGGAATTTTTATTCGATAACTTCAACTTTGTGAGCTCATATGAAATACAGCGACCACTGCACTGAAAAATATCATTAGAAATAGTAGTTCAAACATCTGCACATGATGAGTGGATGATAAAGAAACATAAGTCACAATAATTCTGACCGAAATGGTACTACAGGAGTGAGTTTATTTTAATACACTCTTCCTTACCAACACACACACAGGAGTTCAGAAAAGCACCATTTCCGTTTGTGTTTTTAACCTCTATTGTTAGAGCAGATGGGTTGAACCATCTCACTCTGTTTGGTTGAATCAGTACGCTTTAGAATGTCTCACGGTCCGATTTTGCTACTGGGTTTATTGTGCCGCTGATTCTAGCGCAAGAAAACTTAGTTAGAGGACTGACTGACGTAGAGATCCTAAAACGTGGTTTGCCTGTCTCACATTTTGTCCCACACCACTCCTTGTTTCTTTCCTGATAGCTGACAAGTGTATTTGTTCCTGTATGACCGGATAACATGGGAAGGATATCCGAGGCACACCATTATTGCGCCAGGCACCTGGACAGGAGGGCTAGAATATTTACTACCAAGACAGTGCAAATGAAAGCATCGGCTGCACGAGCCCCACTCAGTCACCATGGGCAACTTCAAACGTATAGACAATGGGAGACGGATGAAAGACGATATCAGTCCGCATGTAAATGAAATGAATCACATGTATGCATGTGTACAACCAGCTACAACCCCTCGGGTCACGTATATTGGGTGTGTGCCTCTGCCAAGATAAGTGTCAAAAATAGTTTAGCAATCAAGCACCCTCCATATGTTCGGCGCATGAAGCTTTTGTCGCACCGATTGGCTACTGAGTGGTAATAATGTAAAATGATGTACCCAGAAATTTAGTCACAGTCCGGTCACTGACCATTTTCATCTTTTTGAAAATTTGTGGAGTCTTGTACATCAGTGCAGACTAATATTCGGATGCAATGCGACTACTGTAAATGGACGTTGAGATTTGTCACTAACAAACAATTTCAGTACTCTCCATCAGCCTAGGTATATATGCCCCATGAGAAGCACAGGCATACCTCAGCACTGTCTTAATAAAATACTTCCTTGTAAGGGGAAACCTAACAGCGAATATCAAAGCGTTTTTGATGTGACATTTATCATAACACACCAAGCCACATGCTTATGAAGAACTACTGTCAAAAGCGAACAAGATTTGCTGGAAAACGGACTGGTTGTTCTGAGTGCACGTTACGGTCTTAAAAAGACTCCTTAGCAAAATCCAGTTCATTCACGTGACCAGTAAATGAACGGATGCGGCACAAGCTGAAACTCAACTGCGTCCCATCGGTTGCAAGGCGTTTTCAAAGTGATGGTTAGTGAGCTGATCCACGAATGGTGTATGAGATTCTAGTTCACGATATTAACTTGAAACCGACAGTATTCGGTGCAGTTCAGGTTTTACAGACTTCATTCCTTCGCTTTCATTTGTAAATATTCGTAAACCTACTGTAGCTCAAGGGCGGACAGCTAAACTTACTTGCTTGATAAATAGTTTCTCTTCTAATGGGAATAGTATTACTATTTAGGATAATTTGAAGTGCTGATTCCATTCATTCTGTTTAGTGGACGAAGCTGACAGACGTGATATCTCTCCATTTGCAAGGAACTTGTGGGTAGGCAACCAAAAAAGTCACAATGTGATGGTCAGAGAAATTGATAAAATACCTGTGGCCAAGTGCGACATGCACAGAAGCATGGCAAAGTAAATAAGAAAAATCCATGTTAATTCTTAGCGATTATTACAGGACCATAGCGTCGTCCATGACAAAGCTGTAAGCCAAAGCTACAGCAGCTGCCGTTGTGATAGATCATACTATGTTCGATGAAAACAAAGGTTTGAAAAGGTTCAGATTGCCCCTCACTATTTGGTAAACTATCCGAAACGGTTGTTCAGCAAAGCGCAATTTAGTGGCCTCTGTTAAGGTGAGTCCTCAAATTTCCACATTTATAACTCCCCCGAACGTGATGAAAAGTATTCTGGGAAAGTTCCTAAAATACCTGCGACAGGTGTTCAAATTGTTAGTCAGTCTAAACGCAACTTGCTGGTAGAAGAATGTGCCAAACAAACCATAAGGTTCGATTTTAAAATTGTCCTCATGAAACAGGATGACTTCTTGCTGCAGAGTAATGAATAAAGATCTACATTCTGGAGGCCAGTGTAACTGTGTCAGTACAGAAAAGTGAAGGCCACGCCGTCGTTCTCTCTGAGTCGTAAAGTTCGTACAGACTACTTTTCTGCTCCGTCTATTTATCCTAGTTATATAGAAAACGTATTGCAGCAAAAGCGACCTAAAAATTGTGTTCCAACGTTAGGTCCGAACAGTTAATAGTTTTTATCGCTTGACCGGGAGACTATCAAACTAGGACTACCAAAAAACCTGTAGCGTTTGCGATAAAGCGATAAAGTCGAAGCAGCTGGAACCCACAATTCGACGTGTGACAAGCTCCAATTGTACCAACCCTCTGCGACTCCCTCAGGAACAGAGAGGTGTCCGAAATTAACCCAGACGAGCTACAGCTGAACCAAAATGTATGCTTTGTAAGGATCCTTTTTCTACAGACGATGACCTGCTTCCGGGAATTAGGTTTTGATATACTGGCCTGTGGTTTGCCCCTCATAGTATTTGCGAGTGTGTCACTGTTTTCCCAGTTTCAATGTCCTTGATCCTTCTTAATACGAAATTCCACCGTAGGTGAGTGTGCATAGTCATCTGTTTCTACCACACGGTGTTCATGGATTTCTGTATATTCGTATGCCTCTTAGTTGCGAGCTCCAGCACGTGATTGATAGGTACAGCGAATAACAAACCGATAGCAGTGCAACAGTTATCCAATCTGTTACCGATAGTGAAGTAATTCACAGGTATATCAATTTAGGATTGGTTCAACCGGGATTACCTTATCACAAAGTATTGAAGAAGATGCAATTCTGAACCTGCAGAAGCTTTGTTCTGATTGGACATCAAATTAGGCTTGTTTTTACTGACTTGGTCCTGTAGGTGAAGTCAGTCTGTGACGAAAATCAGAGACGCTCCACACAGCTGTTTCATCCTTACTCGGAATCATCAGTAGTGCGAATCACACGAGCAGCGGTAATGTGAGTGACTTGCAATTAGACAGAATATAACACCAGCCATCCTTCAGTCATTGAGAATACATTACATGGCCATGTTTTGACTGGTCTCGAGAGTGAGAAGGATGGAGGGGCTTCGGTTGTCTTGTGAAGTATTATGTCTACTGAGCTATCTATACTTTGCCATTTGTTACGTACATGGGTATATGCAACTCGTCTCAAGATAGTTTGTGTAAACGTTCGCTCTATTGACTACCTGTTCTGGATATTACCAGTCAATGTACGCCAAAAATTATGAGTCTTTCAACACGAACACAAACGGATAATATTGACCATTTGCGCACTGCATAAGAAAAGAAACCGACCTGCATCGTATTCGTCCATGTGGGATATTCGGTAGTAAAGCAACGACTGATTGTTGTGCTCAGTGCTCTGTGTAACTGATGCTGAGACGACATGAATTCACGCGTAATGTGCAATTGCTGACGTAAAATGTTGTCCAGAGCGGTTAGACACGGGTTGTATCCACCTAATGCTACAAGTGCAAATCAAATTAATGAAATAAAAATTGATCAACTGCGAAACAGAAGAGGATTGTAGATACATGATGATAAAAAAAGACACCATTTTGAAGTCTAACCAACTGACTGACATATTCAGTAAGCTACGATTTACTGTCACCGAGCAATAAGTTTTATGAGGAATTTGCTGTGACAGATCATGGTTGTGGAAATTGTCAAGTGCCATGTAAACTTCGAAAGACACACTGCACCAATCCTGGTTGTTAAGCCCGTCCTTTTAGCCAGCTTCCTCAAACTGTGTATCACAAGTCCCGTTGAACGTCTGTAGGATCTTCTTTGGAGTGGTTTCTCTTATCTGAACACAGTCCATTTTTATCACAGGAGTACTTATTATCAAAGACTGCGGGTCAGCTACCAGCGGATAACACCCTCCATGAGAAAAACAACAGACAAATAGGATTCGCTACCATCGCTACTGAAGAAGACAGGTCTTTTGGTAAGTATTAGAAACTACGTCTTGTGATATTCAGGAACATTACTCGAAACTGAATACATTCACTATTTCCAGGTGGCGACAGATCGCTGATAAGCTCTGATGACAGATAAATCCGAGTCCAGTGTTCTTCCCTCTTGAGTTAAACTGGGTACAATAGAGCACCAAGTCAGGAAGACTGTTCAAAAGACAGTGAGCTAAACAGGAGCTCTACAAACATCGCAGGGATCTTCAAACCGGCTTGACTTTTATTAACACGAACAAACAACCAATTTTACTGACAGTATGAATAGTTCCGTCAAAGGTTGGAAAATGTCGCTTGTAATGTCTCAAACCAAGCAAAGGAAAGACCAAGTGGAAGCAGTCATTGAAGTCGGGCCACATGAGATCCGAATACACTAATCCTTGGCAAAAATAAGAGCGGACCTCAGCTAAGACCACTTCACTCTGGCTGACTGATCTTGAAGTTGATGTCCTTTTAGAAGCCCACTTATTGTATCTAACTCGAAAGCGTGGTAACAACGCCATTGTCTCACTTCACCTATGTGCTGGTTGATCACCTGCTTTACTCCGTCATGGTATCCGTATTCGCCATTCACTTGGTTACAGGCACCGCGTCAGAAACTTGCATGTTGGCATATGTTAGTATCACTACATCTGCTAACCCGTCCGCGTTCATGCTCCGTGAGCTGAGCTTGCTCTGGCTTGCCGTGTTGTGATTCCCTTGTGTTCGCACCTTTAATTAGAATCAAAGGACTGATCTCGGAAGAGAAAACGAGCCAAAATTCCGCTCGCTGTTTTCTGGTGTGTGGACTTTGACGCTGCGCTCCGCCGGTCTGTGGCAGACTCGAGCACTTGTTGACCCAACGAAAACAGACAGTTGAGGTTTATTGTATATTTTCGTCTGTGTAAATAGTACTGTAAAATTCGGAATCATTTTGTCTACTATTCAGGCCCGACGCTCGAGTATCGCTCGATTTCGCCACACCATCTAATATGATCGAGTAAACTCAACGCAGCTCTGATAGTGGAGTTGTCCGTCGCTGAACAGCAGACAACATTTTTCATAAGAGACCACTTTCACTTGGTATCCTAAAGCTCATATCAGCGGCTGGGGTCCTATCGGAAGGGGCATTTTTTTGAAGGACCTCTTTCAAAACGACATTCCTGGAAAACAAAACATGTGCACCGATTAATTTGGCTTTCAGAGATGATGGCAACGACATGACCGGACCTGTACATTGTGCTTTGGGGACGGACCATGTGACTTAGAGTCAGGTTTGAAGTGAATGCACCAGCCCCAGTGTCTGGAGGCTGATACAGTTTAATGTACCCAACCAGTGTATGACCCAAGCACTTCTGTTCTGTCAGCATGATGAACTTTTCTTCTGGTGTAAGTGCTATGCAAACATTTTCAGGCCACTGAGGTTTGAGAGACCGAAAATATTTACACCGGAAGCTTGGGCTCATATGCAACTCACTGAATTGACTTCTGTGAGCAACTATAAGGTGCTGGTTCGCTAACGGATTAATTTAACCTTCTACTACAGTGACTATATCTGTAAGCAATACAGGCAACCCTTATGCGCATCCTTCATCTTATTGTAGGCATCATAAAAAAACGTCAAGCTTCTACTCCTCTAGCTTTGCAGCATTACTATCGTACTATTATTATTATTATTATTATTATCGTTTCTTAGTTCAATCATCGTGGAATTCACTTGCCCGAAAGAGAATCCCCCAGTTAAAGTTAGGTCATTCATCCTCTGGGAATGATCTTCTGCCGGGAAACTACTGTATTTCACGAATTCATGAAGACCTAATGTGGACAAGATTTTAAACAACTGATCATAATTAATTTTCTTTCCGACAAATACACTCATTTGCAAATCAATCTGGTTTTCTCGGGAGACTCAAGTGAATCTTTCGATTATGATGGTCTTCAAATGAATGTGCTGCATACAGGCCACCTCATGTTTCAGTTGGTACGATATTCGAGATATCGCATTAAATTTTTACAAAGGAAAGTAATCACAAGGTTGCTGAAAACTCTTCTGTTTCAAAAGCAAACACTTACATTGTATTGCTCCTTTGTCAAAGATTGGCCATGGTTCAGGAGCTGTGTAGTGAATAACGGACGGAAAATTCTGGGGTTCATTCCACAGCTGGCGTTGAGCGGGCACTGACGGTTGGTATGTAGGAAGGATATCTCCGGTCCAGGAGGTCTGAACTTCAACCGACCTGCGTGCATATTTAGCACTAGCATGTTTGTCATTTTCTGGTGACCTGCGAAAATCGTCCGAGTGAAATTGACGGTTCCATTTTATTCAGATTAGGTAGCTTACTGACAAATCTTGTCTCACCAGAACACAGTGCAAGCAAAGAGGAAAGACTGTGCAGCTGTTTAAAACTTTTATATAGATTTGGACAGAAAACATTCACTTTAAAAACAGAAAAATGTGTTAGCCATATTTCTCTGTGCTGCTGATTTTGAACCCTATTTTCTTTTAAAGTGTTGGTGGTTTTAGGGTCTGCTCTTTTGAGGGACCCAATGATTCACATGATTTTTTAGTAAAACAAAGTGGACCCATGCAATTGCCTAAACAGAGATATGTTGTTGCTACAAGTTCGGAATTTACTGGATTTTATGCTGCTGATTGTTTGCATACTCGGACAGATCAACCAGGACCTCTCTTCGACAACGCGCTGAAATGTGGAAATTTTCGAACTCGTGAAATCGGGTATGAAACCTGACGAGGGGGGGGGCGGTTGAAAGTTCATCCAGTACTTGAAGTGAGGGAGTGTACTGAAGCTTGATCTTTTTTGGGGGCTCTTAACTGCACCCATTCGGCTAAAAGCTGAATATCATGCCATACAGTCACAACGGTCTGCTGATCATGGCGTCGGCATTGCGCCTGGTATTACGCGTCCTCCAGTTATACAGTCGAGACGTCACTTAATCCGATGTCGTTCTGCTTCAGCAACCTAACGTAAGCATTGTTCACACCGTTTTCAGCACTCAACCAGTAGGTATGTTTACCCCCTAGATGTCTGAATTTCGACCAGCTCTCACAATTTTGCGGCTTCTTCCAAAAGTGACATCGAAAAAAAACAATGATTCCATACCCTATTAAAGACCACCTGATGACGACAGATATGTGCAGCAGTTTTGCATTGTTGACGTGGAGTCCGGCAGAACACACTAGTAGGTCACATGGGTCACGAACAATCCAGCGAAAATTCAGGCACAACGGTCCTGGGATTATGTACGCGAATTTTTAGTTCATTTAAAACTATGTTTACAAAAGTTGTACCATATACGTAGGTCACCCACTTCCTTGACGAATCTGATGTGCGTGCACGAGTTTGGTTTTGGTGCCTGATATGTGCTGCCTTAACAATGGTCGATGGAAAACAACTCTAGACAACGTAGTAGTACCGTATGGGATTCGGATTTAGAGATGAAAAGACTTGTTCTGCCTTAGTTGTCGTCCAGGTGGGCTGTATGCGGGGCTATTACATTTCTACCATGCCATCACGTCCATAGAGTTGCAGCTGATCCTATTCACAACACTTTACAGCATGCTGGTCAGCAGAAGTACACACGGGTCCTCTACATGGAAAGTTTCGATATTTCTTCCTGGCACGACGCAGTTAGATAATTCAAGCCAGTCGATGTATGCCACAGTTCTGTACTCACCATCTATGACGGCGATGTGCATCAGATGTAACGGGATTAATAGTTAATAAAGTACAAAATTCCAAATGAACATGGCAAGCTGAAAACAGAGTGGGCGTAGAAGAGGCTTGCCTGATTCACTCAATAAGGTGAACCCAGGAACGCACAATGAAAAATATTGCGAAGAACGATTTTATTGAGTGTGTACACTTTAGGATAACTAGCTGCTTACTTGCTTGCGGCGGAGTTTGACCTGGAAGCTTTATGTTCTGCTGTTTGATTGGACCTCTGTGTGGTGGTTGTGGCTCGGACACGGTCTTTCTTGTCTGCAATGAATAAAAAGCTGACAGTTTGCGCTTCCATCATCATCGTCATCATCATCACCATCGACAGCATGACATTAATGTTCAACACCGATGCTTCACTGCCATACAACCATGATTTATTTGAAATCCTTATTGTAAAGAAGGGAAAGGGACTTAGTGCTAACTTACCACAATCATTCCGAGGTACCTAATCCTCCAGACACAAACTAACAAGTATTGTAAGTATGAATTCGCACCTTAGAACGATTTGAAACTTACGACGACGTCGACTCAGTTGTCTCAACAAACTTAACCATTCGCAAACATTGGCACAAAATGTCCGGTAACCGGATAGTATATGATAAAAACACTGTTAAGTAGAAATAAGTAGAGCTCCCCCACATTTCTAATTAAGTGATATGTCACCAACACAAAATTAGCGTTTTGTTAGAGCTAAAGTTATCCTTCGAAAAACACGTCAGTTACTTCTGCAGATTCGAACGCCAGTGCAGCTGGAAGTAAGATGGTTCATATTTTTATGCCTAGTCTAAAATATTCCTCGCAACGTTCGTCAGCGCACATTCATGAGATGATGCAGTGTTTGTAATTAAACTACACAGCCAAGTGAAGAAACCGCCGATGCAATATGTCACCGTTACAGGTGGTCATAACGAACTGAATGTCACTGGTTTCTCAGCACCTTCGAGATAAGTTAAATGTATGATGTTGCTTACGTAAACATAATATTGTTAGGCTTTCTGAAACCGATACCGCTGGCTTCTGCACATCAAAAACTTCCTTCAGGTTGAATGCGCATTGTGGTGCACTAACTCAGTTCAAAAAAATATTCTTTCCCTGGTTTACTTCACTGTCGCTCCTAGAGAATTAGCACAGAAACCACCTATGGCGGCTTGTGTACTCGATGTTTCAAGTAGTTTGATAAACCCGTTACACTCCTGACAGAGTGCACATATAACCGAACGATAAACCCTGAAGCGGCATCTGGATGCGGAATCAAATCGCTGGTTACATGTAAATAGAATCATAAACGGGAGCTTTAGCTGGGTTCCCAATGGTTTTTTCGTCAAAACAAAATCGATACACAAATGAGTGTATTCGGCTAGCCTTTGGCATGTTTTGGTTACCCACGGTTTGCACAGTGACTTCGTATAAAAATCATGAGTCTGTCTAAATACTGCTAAGTGTCTGACATTTCGATTACCAGAGATCATAGTGATAAAGAGAAATACTTATCAACTAGAAATACCGTATTTCATCAAATTTACCCAGTGGACTTCGTCTGTCTCCATAAATCATCCTAAATCAGTGAATGGTGTATAGAAACTTGTAAGAGTAACTATGCGTTACGAGACTAGTAGAAAGCTCAACCACTGTGATGTCAAAACATTCCGAACAGAACTTAAAGGTGCCATCACTGGGCCCAAATTTCTTCTGTTCCGTTGTACCTGTGGGCAGATCCAGTTAGAATCCAGTTTAAAGTATTGATAGTCAGGTTTCTGGTCCGGTATTATTAAGTGAGGTGAAAAATCAAACGCCTCAAATTTACTTCAGTCACATTGCGTTGCAAAGTTTTGTAAGTTGAGGTAAGATTCACGACGACAGGCACGAAGGAATATCTATAAATTACGAAGATGTTCTAAAGACTGGGAATACATCTATCTTCTTGACACAACACACTAATTATAAGCCTGCCGAAAAAATCTTCAGTAGCATACTACCAGTTTCTCAGTCCTTCGAGCTTGTCAAGTAAGCACAATCTCCAAGTACTTGAAAATTGGTAATGGACTGTCGAAGTCCTTTTAAAATCCATTTGAGTAGTGTGTTCTGTCAAGAGAACATACTACAATATGTCGGACATCATACCGGCTAAAATAAAAGGCTGCCTTTATGCAGCGGGTTGCGTAAAGAGTATCAGAATAGCTCTTTACGCGAGCCCGGAAAACATACATGGATCGTAACGATGAGTATAATTTATTAAAATTGCAAAAATGACGAGAATCCCGACTGATTGTTCAAAGTTCCGCACAATGAATACGGAAAGAAATATGACAACACAAGTTTAGAAATCAGCATCCAGGACATCGCAAAGTCTAAAGCAGAAATAAGTGGTTCACGGGTGAAATTTGAACTATTGTATCCCAATGGAACTGCCATTCCATGGCTCTACTGCATGCCGAATCTGCATAAAAATAAGCTACAGAGGGGACCGAAACCAGGCACGAGAAAATCTCCTGCTAATCGCTTACCAATCGTTACCTCCGAAAATCCAAAGCCAGGGAGGTATGCGACTATCAAACATGGTCTCTAAAGCTCTTTAGACTTTCCTAAAACGATTTAGAGTTGAATGCAAAAGGACAACCAAAGTACCGCTTTGTGAAACGATGGAATGCTTATGACCAACGGAAACGGCGATATGACCCTGAGCACGCATAATACAATTTTTCCAGTCCAGTAACCAGACTAATGGACAGAAAGATGGTGTTACCGAGGTGTCTTGACTTGGCCCATTTCTGGCTGATATTCATGGACAAGCTTGAAGAAAACCAACTAAATTAGGTCCTGGGAGAGTCTACCATTGATAGACTACATCAATGGCATGATCGTCTTCACCTCAACTAAACTCAGGGATAATAAAACCTTCAAAAAAATTACTCAAGCCATGCGAACAGCAAGCGCTCTCTAGGACCACGAAGCCAAAGAAGCTGCATTGATCTTTAACTCGTCAAATGAATGGGGAAACGATGACAAACGTTAGAGAACAGACCAGGAAAGGAGAGTACATCAATTTCAAGAGATTTTTCTCTAAAAACTAAACTATATGGTAATGGGAGTTTTCTCAGTCGATAAGCTGTAAGCAGCGTACGTAGTTGTCTGAAACGGATACCCAGTCCAATTTGTGTAAGAAATCAGTAACGCTCAGATCGAGATTTATGTACGTTGGGAACTGGCAGTTTCATATCTGTGTGACCCTGTTGATCGAATGGTTTCCAAGGTTTGGCTGTATGTCCCACATTCTCCCACCTTCCGGCAATGAAAACTGTAGCAACTGGAATTCATGATTTATTGATTTATTGATCTATCGAGTGAGTGAATGGTTTCACAGAGGCGCCGAATATGTCTTTTAAACGGCTTGCGCAGCGAATTTACTGGTAGCCTTTCAATCGCAAACGTGTCCTGTGCATGTTACTAAATAACAAGTTCTCATGGTTTACCAGCAGGTTTTTGAATAATCATGCAAGGCATCATCAGTCAGTCAAACAAAAATGGTTTTCTCATGGAGTCTACGAACATTGCGCAATATTTTTGTAGTTACTATGCCGAATTCAGTTCACCTACTGACTTGTTCCAGTCAAACCATCGTACTACCGAAGCTTCTAACGTGGTGCAGCTCGGCTTGGTAAATCGCTTGAGGTATGCGGGAACTCGGTTAGTCCTTGTTGTCGAGGCGATATCTACCCAGCCATGCAAACGTGTGTGCGCAAAAACGATTGGGACTACGACTTAACTGGTCGGCAAAAATTGCAAACCCGAAAAGACCTCTGATTATGTTGCCGTCAACACTGAGCTCCTGCTCTTCATCTTTTCCAAAATGAACATTTTCAGGATAATTACTTTCGAGCAGCGAAATGTTACCTTTGTGTGTTTAAATGACCTCTCTCGGTTACTACCATCAAATCAACTGTGTTATAAACCGCCCAAGAAGTACACAAAAGCCAGTAGTTATTTGCACTCTTGTTATCCTGATGACATTTCCGTGTGTTTTCGAGCATCGCACACAGCTTGACGGTGGTAAAACACCCACGGCGGGAAAGTTCCTTGTACCTTATACATATTCTCCATGCTTTGGGTAGCCTTGTGCAGGTCTTTATGAACCAAATGTAGTTTATTTTTTCCCGAAATTTATATGTTTAAAAGAGATTCCTGTACAGCGTAGCCAGTGTGGGTTCCCGTAATGTCCAAACCAGTCGGTTTTTTACAATAGAGGCAACATAATCTAGTGGAACCTATGGGTTTGAAAGAATGTTTTTCTGTACTTGTGTGCTTGACCTCAGCAGGACTGCTGTCCTACAGCTCACAATATACTCGCCGGTTTGTCTAAATTTGCATCAATCTATTTCCATTTGGACTGAAAACAGCCTTGTATTCCCTGTTTATCGAGTCTTCTTGATAATTGGTGCGTCAGTACAGGTCTGTCAGTGAACTTTTAAGGGGGAGGTTGGAGAGGGAGCTATGCATTGAACTCAACAAGTCGAATGCACGAGTGCCCTCGAAGGCGCTACTAAGCCATGTTTGACAATGTCCCAAGACCATTGATGTGGCCTGTCTCCGGGTCCTCATCCAAGCGGCAATGACCGGCGCAATTGAGTTTGCTAGTAATGGCTTTTCTTAAAATTTTCATCATTCCTCCACGTCAATCAGCTCCTTACAGTAATCACTTGTTCGGTCGCATCAATTTTCTGCTGGCTCTTGTAGAATGAGTTTAAGCTTCACTGGTAGTACAATAATCCCCACATGTAGCCAACAGTAAAGCGCTTACCTTAAAAATCATGACTATCATTCTATAGAGAGTCCATCACCTGGTAGAGACGGAATTCGGTCGGCCAGCTGACGAGGCTTTCCTAAAGACAGATGACAAAATATACGTAGTCTCTTAAACACTTTCTGACTTCTACAGTCTACAGTTGCCTCTCTCTGAAAGAAACCATTATGGTGACAGACTTAAAGTGCGAGGTGCTCTCGTCTCAGAGGGGCATAAGTAGTGGAGTTTACCTAGAGGATCAGCGAGAAACGGACTGGTCGTTTTGGAGGATGTTTTCCATATATGAAGGATCAATAAGTGTTTTCAAATGCACTCATGATGCTGAGTTAAAAATAAAACAAACAAGACGATCTTACATTTTGCAGTCCTTTTTGAGGAACTCCCAACTTCGCACTCATGCATGATCGAGGTTTTCGTTCCTGGTGATTTCACAACCGAAGCTGCCTCTTCATCCTCTGACTCAAAATCGTCACAGTATTCCTCGTTCGCTTGTTGTGACCTTGAATCAGATTGACCAACCGCATCTACTTCACCAGCCATGGTTGAAGGATCGGTAGATGAAACTGCTCTTGGGAGATCGTCACTATATGGATCACATTTCGGTTCTTTTGAGCTGTTTGAGCATTTGGAAACCGCAACAGAACATGTCTGTTCCTGTTCCAGGCATTCTTCCACCTCAGACACAGACGAGGGAATTTCGGGAACTGTTGATGTAAGAGTACAGAAGGTGAGCAGTCAACATAAACATGTAATAAATCCACATTGTTGTACTTGTTATCCACGACAGCTCATCCTATGAAATGCAGCACAGAAAGTTGTGGTAGAGACAGGGTGCTGTTTAGTCCGGAAGACGAGTACACTACGCGTTTCACTCAGAATAGGCTCACCAAGTGGAAGTAACCGGATCGTTAAAAAATCCCCTTGTTCGTGGCTGTGAACCACATCGGAGCGCATGAGGAATAAGGAACAGTTCTTTCTTGATTGGGCCCACGCAATAAGATTCGTCAAAACATTTACCTACTTGAAAGCAACAACGCCTTATTCCGCACTTTTTACTACGAACGCAGAGGGATTGAGAAGTACCAAACCTTTATTAATTGCATTCAGGGATTATCAAACCAAACATTCCTTCATAATGGTCTTTACGAAACGACTGAGCCGATCAAACTCAGTCGTTTAACAAATTGACGTCTTTTGCCTAAGCAGGATTCAGATATACACAAAAGTGTCGTTTGGTACACCTATTTACCAAAGAGTCCCCCCTTAACTGAAACCAAAAAACATATCAATATATGGTGGTGATCTGTATCCTATACACAAAATGAAACGTACTTTCTTGTAGATCAGCGGATTTACCGCATTCCCTAGTTGCATGAATTTTCTGTTTGGTAGAGTTCATTTCCCGGGCTGATGTTCTGTCCACCTCGGCTAACTCATCAACTGACAAAACAATGAAGCCAGCTGAAAAAGCGTCCGCAGGCATATCTGTCACAAACCAGGAAAAGACAGCTTGATTGTGTGGCCGTCAAAATCGAAAGTAAAAGTGAGGTGTTCGGTTCCAGCCTACGGTTCGTCGCTTACCAGGTTCATGGTGGTATAGTTGTCGCCGTTACAGATGGACAAAGATTCCAAATGGACCGTGAGCATCAATACGAAACACATTGTTTCACAGCGTGGAAGAAACTTAAACTAGGTACTCAAAAGTTCAAAAGTATACGATAGTTATCTTATTATGTAAACTCTTTTCATACACCGACAAAGCGGATGCGTGCAATGGGAGAGCACATTTCGAGGCTACGTAGCTCTCCAGTTACACTAGGTTGTTGTGCGTTTTTGCTTTCAACTAAAGTCTTCCATGGAGTCACGCCTAAGGAGAGTTGAACCTTAGCTAAAAGCAGTCTGGCAAAGTAAACAACCAATCACAGCACTTTTGTCGACATCTACAATAAGTGCTAGCACTCGACTACCCTAAAGCCATTAGATATGAATGCTTTATTTGACGTCGAAATGGTAATAGTGGGAAATCGGTGAAAACAGTTTAATCTTTATGACAAACAAACAATATATACCAATAATGGGCATTAGCTGTGAATCGTTTCAACAGCCTAACAAATTCCATAGCTTGTCAGTCGGGCTGCTATTGAGAATACCTACAGGTATTTCAATAGTCAAGTAGATCCGAATGATTGCGCTGTTGTGCCCTCAGTGGTGACCCACAGGAATATTTTCGTTGTAAAACTCATTCTAGATGGCTTTCGGCGAAAACTAAACACAAAAAATGTATTCAGCAAGCTCTGGAAATCTTCTCTGTCAGCGACGTTAGGAATTGTTAGTAGTTGATCATCTGTCTTAAACCGATACAAGAATTAACAGCTAGTCTATTTCTGATGTTACACTGCCAACCATGTCATCGATAAAACTGAACTCCGTGAATAAAGCGTTGGCGTACAGAGCTCATGGCTTACATCAAGATATTGGGCTAATGTTTTTAGGCAGTAGGATTCCGTAAAAAATTCCGACGCGATTACAAGTGTGAATTACTAACGGCGTGAATTTCTGATCTACCGCTGTAATGCTAACTCCATTGCGGCTCAACGGTCGTAGGCTCTTACATTGTTCTAACATAGAATAGCAGCATGCACTCAAAGAAGATCATCCAAGCAGCTGGATGACAGAAACGCGGTAGGTGACAGCCTAGATGCCATTCCCGTTGGGCTGAAAAAGTCGAAGATTTACCAACAAATGACTTTGTTTTACATGTTAGTTATCTTCAACCCTAACGGTCCGTTAACAGCATTCCCAAGTCTAATTTGCGTTTTTACTACTCGCCATACTCACCTTAATCCGTCAGACTCACGTCGATATAAAAATCTGCAAATAGCATTACTCTTGGCCCCGCAATTTACTAAGCACACATGAGCATCCAGCAGTTCATGTTAGTCTATCTCGGATGTGGGCCGACCGTGTCAAAATCTGCAAATAGCATTACTCTCGGCCCCGCAATTTACTAAGTACACATGAGCATCCAGCAGTTCACGTTAGTCTATCTCGGATGTGGGCCGACCGTATATTCCAAATCGCACGAGCACTGTCACCACATTAAAGCCAATCAATTTTGGAGTAGAAAATGCAGTGTGGTGTATTCCTACGTGAAAGTTATGCACTGTTTTAGAGATTGTTGGAGCAAAAAAAGGAATCCACTTCTCCATTTTAGATGAAATAGGTCTTGGCAACCTAGATGATCTAATGTGTGTGACAGAGTTCGTGATGAGGGTTGCGATTTGTGAAGACTTGGAATACAGACTGTAGAGTACAAGATAGGTCTTGGCAACCTAGATGATCTAATGTGTGTGACAGAGTTCGTGATGAGGGTTGCGATTTGTTTGTGAAGAGAATACAGACTGTAGAGTACAAAATAGGTCTTGGCAACCTAGATGATCTAATGTGTGTGACAGAGTTCGTGATGAGGGTTGGTTGTTGTGAAGACTTGGAATACAGACTGTAGAGTACAAGTTGAGTGGACACGACGGCGACAACAAAAGCACGCAACTTCTGTTGTTTCAGGATTATATGCGACAACATACGACGAGGGAATTGTCTGCACTCAGAAGCATGAATAAGCGGATGAGTTTGAACTTCAACAATTGACAGGGTCACATCGTTGGCGTGTTTTTATGAGCACCATTATTTTGCGAGACAATCTCGACCGAATGGCTAACCGCCTTACATTCTTGTTGAGAAACCAGAAACCATCGCACTTTATTTTTGCCACTCACGGAGCTAACACCAACCTTAAGATAAATAGACTCACTTTACTGGTTAATGACTAACGTTCAAATAATAATCGTGCAATGAGTGTAAACATTCAGATGCATGCAGTCCACTTTGACAACCCGGCCATCTAGTTCATCGTTGTTGAGAGGAATCCCCAGTACATATCTAAATAAGCCGGACAGTTATCAGAATATATCATCCTGTGAGCTAGGTCTCAATGTAATGTCATGAAGGAACGGGTGGACGCTACAGAGGTCATGCAGAGATTAGAAACTAACAAATCGTTCGTTTAAATATGATGATGATCAGCCGGTAATGTAGAGATGAAATTTAGGCCATGTGACGTTCTTATAAAATACTGATGTATCCTCACTAGTCAGAAAACAGATAACCTTGGAGGTATGCTCAAGATGCATATAGATAAAGACGCATTGCCTACTCCAACCCTGCTATCAACGAAGCGGCCGGCTTAGACAAATCCCGTAAAACAACTTTCAGTCGCGCACGCGGTCAAAAACCCTCAAAGTTTTCGCTCACCTATCGAGTAAGCGATGCTCACGTTCGCTGTAACTACTTCATGTGAAGACTTGGAATACAGACTGTAGAGTACAAAATAGGTCTTGGCAACCTAGATGATCTAATGTGTGTGACAGAGTTCGTGATGAGGGTTGCGATTTGTGAAGACTTGGAATACAGACTGTAGAGTACAAAATAGGTCTTGGCAACCTAGATGATCTAATGTGTGTGACAGAGTTCGTGATGAGGGTTGCGATTTGTGAAGACTTGGAATACAGACTGTAGAGTACAAAATAGGTCTTGGCAACCTAGATGATCTAATGTGTGTGACAGAGTTCGTGATGAGGGTTGCGATTTGTGAAGACTTGGAATACAGACTGTAGAGTACAAAATAGGTCTTGGCAACCTAGATGATCTAATGTGTGTGACAGAGTTCGTGATGAGGGTTGCGATTTGTGAAGACTTGGAATACAGACTGTAGAGTACAAAATAGGTCTTGGCAACCTAGATGATCTAATGTGTGTGACAGAGTTCGTGATGAGGGTTGCGATTTGTGAAGACTTGGAATACAGACTGTAGAGTACAAAATAGGTCTTGGCAACCTAGATGATCTAATGTGTGTGACAGAGTTCGTGATGAGGGTTGCGATTTGTGAAGACTTGGAATACAGACTGTAGAGTACAAAATAGGTCTTGGCAACCTAGATGATCTAATGTGTGTGACAGAGTTCGTGATGAGGGTTGCGATTTGTGAAGACTTGGAATACAGACTGTAGAGTACAAAATAGGTCTTGGCAACCTAGATGATCTAATGTGTGTGACAGAGTTCGTGATGAGGGTTGCGATTTGTGAAGACTTGGAATACAGACTGTAGAGTACAAAATAGGTCTTGGCAACCTAGATGATCTAATGTGTGTGACAGAGTTCGTGATGAGGGTTGCGATTTGTGAAGACTTGGAATACAGACTGTAGAGTACAAAATAGGTCTTGGCAACCTAGATGATCTAATGTGTGTGACAGAGTTCGTGATGAGGGTTGCGATTTGTGAAGACTTGGAATACAGACTGTAGAGTACAAAATAGGTCTTGGCAACCTAGATGATCTAATGTGTGTGACAGAGTTCGTGATGAGGGTTGCGATTTGTGAAGACTTGGAATACAGACTGTAGAGTACAAAATAGGTCTTGGCAACCTAGATGATCTAATGTGTGTGACAGAGTTCGTGATGAGGGTTGCGATTTGTGAAGACTTGGAATACAGACTGTAGAGTACAAAATAGGTCTTGGCAACCTAGATGATCTAATGTGTGTGACAGAGTTCGTGATGAGGGTTGCGATTTGTGAAGACTTGGAATACAGACTGTAGAGTACAAAATAGGTCTTGGCAACCTAGATGATCTAATGTGTGTGACAGAGTTCGTGATGAGGGTTGCGATTTGTGAAGACTTGGAATACAGACTGTAGAGTACAAAATAGGTCTTGGCAACCTAGATGATCTAATGTGTGTGACAGAGTTCGTGATGAGGGTTGCGATTTGTGAAGACTTGGAATACAGACTGTAGAGTACAAGTTGAGTGGACACGACGGCGACAACAAAAGCACGCAACTTCTGTTGTTTCAGGATTATATGCGACAACATACGACGAGGGAATTGTCTGCACTCAGAAGCATGAATAAGCGGATGAGTTTGAACTTCAACAATTGACAGGGTCACATCGTTGGCGTGTTTTTATGAGCACCATTATTTTGCGAGACAATCTCGACCGAATGGCTAACCGCCTTACATTCTTGTTGAGAAACCAGAAACCATCGCACTTTATTTTTGCCACTCACGGAGCTAACACCAACCTTAAGATAAATAGACTCACTTTACTGGTTAATGACTAACGTTCAAATAATAATCGTGCAATGAGTGTAAACATTCAGATGCATGCAGTCCACTTTGACAACCCGGCCATCTAGTTCATCGTTGTTGAGAGGAATCCCCAGTACATATCTAAATAAGCCGGACAGTTATCAGAATATATCATCCTGTGAGCTAGGTCTCAATGTAATGTCATGAAGGAACGGGTGGACGCTACAGAGGTCATGCAGAGATTAGAAACTAACAAATCGTTCGTTTAAATATGATGATGATCAGCCGGTAATGTAGAGATGAAATTTAGGCCATGTGACGTTCTTATAAAATACTGATGTATCCTCACTAGTCAGAAAACAGATAACCTTGGAGGTATGCTCAAGATGCATATAGATAAAGACGCATTGCCTACTCCAACCCTGCTATCAACGAAGCGGCCGGCTTAGACAAATCCCGTAAAACAACTTTCAGTCGCGCACGCGGTCAAAAACCCTCAAAGTTTTCGCTCACCTATCGAGTAAGCGATGCTCACGTTCGCTGTAACTACTTCATGTGAACACATGTGAACACAACGATCAAACAAAGACAGATGTGGAACCCACTCACCTTCTGTAAGCATCATTGGGGTCGGTGCTGCTTGTGTTGAGTCATCACATTCAGCGAGAGACAGCAAAGAGTAGTCTCTCAACCTTCCATCATCACCCTCTTGGAAGATAAAGGTGTTTTCCAAAGTACTCATAGCTTCCGAATGAGCGGCGGGTGACACAATACCAGCGCGGTGACTGAGGCTGTTTTTGGTCTCTTTTTCGGCCGGCGCTGTCAAGATCCTTTCCTAAAAATGTAGACTAGGTAAATCACAAGCGTAAACGAAGCAAAATGACCGGGCCAATATCGCAAACCGAAAATAAACTATGACATAGCTGCCCCTTTGCTGCTTTCAGCGAAGACAAGTTTTGAAAAGTTGGACGGAGTCAAGAACGCTCAAAGCAATTAAAAACACTTCATTCATGTACGAACAATTATACGGAGTACAAGTGCATAAGCCTAACAAACGACATAGTCGAGTCTACTTGATGAAACATATAGCTGCCTTCACTGATTTTTCTCATTTCAGCCCAGTGAAAGAGGTGAAATACTAAAATTTCTGCAATAGGAGTAAAGCCCTTAAGGCAAAAGGTTTTTGTGACCATATGACATTTGTTTCCCACTGAAGCCCAATCAGAATTCTCAGTCTCCTCTGAGAAGCGTTATCCCGGAACGCGAAAATGTTTCCTGGATAGAAAAGTACGCCCCCAAATGTGTGAAAAACACTAGGGGGCACTGCAGGATTTTTAGACAGGATTAGGAAAATCCTTTTTACATCTCTTATCTCAAAAGGCTTTTGTGGGTGTGAGAGTTTTCGCTTTGCCATGATTGATCTGGACGTCTTTTTATTGTGGAATCATTTTATCTAGCACAGAGTAACTTAATAAACTGTTTAATAGTCGTCAGTACGTGTTATATAGGCGATTGAAGACGCCCAACAAGAACTCGCAGAGACCCAAAGTGTAAAGCATTTTACCAGAAAAATATGCAAATGTATCTAGTAAAACAAGGGCAATTATAGGACCTTGATCAAGTGATTTCCAACCCAACATCCATCAGTGAAACCGGAATATCAAGTTAGATATAATCTGGCAAAGCGGTTACGAGTTCTGCAGGCTGATGTCCTTGGAATATGGACTAGTCATGAGTTGCTGCCTCGACTGACAAACAAGAACTGATATAACAGATACTCTGCAATAATGGCGGAACTCAGTTGTAGCTGCTTTGTTCTGCAGCTAACCCGCTAAAATTATGACGTACTGAAAATTTCCAATCCACACGAAGGACAGGCTGAAAAACCTAGGTTTACCTTTTGAGGAGTCGATAGGTCATCAGGGGTTCTTAAGACATATCGTTTCGATTGCTGCTTTTGTCGGTCCACAACTGCAGTGTACGGGACAAGCAAGTCTGCCGTCAACTCATCTTCTTCACTACCAGGAGGAGGCGAGCTTTCTGAGAAGTAATAATAATAATGAGTAATAATAAAAATTGGAAGTCACTGGTGAATAAAACTGTTGGAATTAGGTGCATTGGATTATTTGAATAATCTGGTTTGCTCCAAAATCAGAAAACTATTTTTAAAGTGCAGACATTCGGAACACCAAAATTGTACTGTATCTAATGAAGCCTGCTTAGTGTGCATCAAGTCGAGGAAAATAAAACCCTTACATTGAAACTTACATATGAACTCGCTTCCTTGAAACGAAGCATACCACTGGGTATGTCATGTGTCCTAACGGCGGATTGCAGAAGAGACTACAGTGTGTCCGCTTGTAAATTTGTACACGCACTGCAGCCATACGCTCCACAATCAAGAATCGTCCATTAAAATACGAGACTATCTGCCACATGCCTCTTTCTATGAGTGCATTGCCTTACAAAAGAACGAAATCTTTGAGAATAATCGACTATTTTAGAGTGTAGATAACTCATCCAGTTAGTAAATTCATTGAAACATGGGGTACATCTATTTGCCTCTGAACTACATTCAATTAAACATCTCGAGTAGGTACCGGCTAATCAACCAGTTCCCTGTAAGCAACCAGAGCATTGAGTAGTGTACACTTAGTGCATTTAGAGGTTAACAGGAAACAGTTTTCAGCATGTGCATGTGTGATTACAATCCACTCAAGTCTACCATTACAATAAACTTATTCCTTGAACGTGTCAAGCGCCACTGAACACGGATGGATGAGGTTTGCCGACAAAGCATATTCTATCATTAAGAACTTCCGTTATACTAAATATTTTATTGAGTTTATTAAGATTTTTCATTTGGTTACAATGGATAAATGTCACCTCTTCGTGTTCACTTCAATTCATAAATGTGATTGTCAGAGACAATATCCGACTGTATCAGAATATTTGTTCTTCACTGGACTGAATTCAAGAAAATCGGTTTGAAATACATTTCGCGGAAGAGAACATCGGATTTGATCAACTCCTTCGTAATTATTATTTCCTCAGCGAATTTACAGCTGTTAAGTATTTCCAAAAGCTTACCTAGCTTTCGTTGAGCTTTAACCATGTTTGATTTGAGGAAACGTAGTCCATCTCCATAACTTTCTGAACTGTCATCTTCCAGGTTACTAAAAATCGAAGTTGTGGATTTCTTGCTTCTTGTTTGCGTCATGATTGTACGACAGAATACATTCGAATTGAATTAACGGGCATCAGGATTGGTGGAATCAAGTCTCACGACAAGTACACTCATCATGGTCATAAGACATGGTCTCTCAGATCATGTCGTTGGTCCTGTAACAACAAAACAGCAGACTAACTTTAGTGATTGAACCTCCCCATATGTCCGCTGTTTAAGCGTAACAGACAGTTCACAAAATTCCCACACTGCTAAGAAGATATCAGTAATATGAAATCAATTCAAAACGATGGAGTCCACGCAACATACTGAAGCCGATGTAGTTCATGTTGTGAGGGTTTTCTAGCTTGCTGATCCACATGGTAAAGCGCTCACCGTTCAGCTAATTAAAACACATAAACAGCGTTTATATATGAGAACACATCTCTTGGGTTCAGGATGTATTGATGGCANCGCTCGTAGGGAGTTTTAGCTATGTACAGAGACAAAAGCCCCTGTTGCCTTGGTTTTTGATGAAACTAGATGATCTGTTATCTTTGTAATGTACTACTCATAAGATGCCTTATTACACAGTCATTCGTGTATCTCAAGTACACTAACACGCATGTTCTAAACGGAGATACGCTTCTTTGATTAAGTCTAAATGAATGTAAATGGAAATGCGATACATTAGCCATACGACTGAACAGAAATTCCGAAAGCAGTAACCTAATGGGCTGATTACTTGGCTGCTGGCACTGTCTCTAGAAATAGTCAATTATTATTTCATAATTTTTCTGATTTTCCTCAGCGCGGCATACATCTTGAGTTAAAAATGAGCCGGAAATCAAAAAGATGCGAATAATATAGGATCTTAAAGACTGTGACTATATTACTAATGCGAGGAAACCGTAACTGGCTGATATTTCTACACTGCTTGAATTTCGCACTCGAAGGGTCACAAAACAAGTTTTTTTTTGTGCGGAGTGAATAAGTTGTTGGAAAACCGAGGAGGTGTTAAGTTTACGTTCAAGCAATTTTCTCGTTTGCACTAGTGGTGTGAGGCTTGTGGTCTATCATGTTTGGCTCGATTCTTTACCTTCTCATCAGTGATGTATTTTGTATTTGAATTTCCAGAAAAAAATCACTCATACTGAGAGAAAAATTTGGGGGTTGTGGGCAAAAGGTGCATCAAAACCACTATATAACCATGTGTCTGATCAAAGCGCATACCACGAGATAAGGACAGTCAGGCACTTCTAAGTGCCTATCGTTCTTTCCAAGGATGAAGTACACTCAGAACCCTCTATAGAGGATGGGACTTACCACTTTGGAATCTTGAACGCTGTACTGGTTGTTGTAACTTAGCGCCAAGTTAACTTTATGATTATTCATTTTTCCGTTCCAACGAAACAATGAGTATATGCAGGCCCATCAGAGTGATTGTTACAAATTAGGGAAAAAACCGGTCCACTGACGTCTGTCAATTCATCACGTCCTGTTTGTGCAGTGCTTGATTTAAAAGTGGAGATTATGTAGCAAGTCATGTGCGGACAAAGTTGTTTTAGCTGTTACCCACAGAATCTGAAAGTACCTACCGAGAAAAATCCCCCTAGTGGACCATTCGTTGCATATAAATTTTCATGGATATAGGCTCATCAGTAATTCACAGTTTTGTGGAAGAACTTAGGAAGGAGCATTAGCAGGGGTTACAAGCTGAGTGAAAAATGAACTCACAACATTCTGAATGTCAAACTGATGATAGGAACCAACGAAAGGAGCGGTTTCAGTAACCACAACCTACTTCAACGGTTGTTCCTAAAGTTGGAAAATTCCCCACCTACGATAAATAGCGATACTGCAGAGGAAATCGAAAACAACGGAAAGTTGTGCGCAGCCTTCATATCTACCACACTTGTTCAAAAAGGGATGTCCCAGTGACTGGTGAGTGTATGGCAAGCTCTCCAGAAGCTTTCTAAAGAAAAATACTGTGCATCAAGGTTGGAACTCTCTCCGTTACTGTTCGAATTTCGTCATTAATAAAATAAAAAGGTGAACGCTGGAAGAAATCTACAACCCCGATGTTCAGATAGTTGCTGGTGAGAGCCTCGCTGACCTGGATACCACAGACTACATTTTTTAAGAGGAAGACCAAGCATAATCTCCTCCAAATAAACTAAACGTCATACGCCGGCATGCGCCCTGCATAAGCAAGGTGCAAAGTAATGCTTCATAACGTGCAGTCTTTGGGCATACCCCTTACAATTCAAAGTAAATCCTCAGGTTTCTTTGGAGAATTTTACATAGCTCTGATGAAAAAAACTGACGAAGTCAGTGCACTAATCTCAAAATCCTGAATCCTATCCACTTTTTGGCTTCAAAAAGGCACATAACTAGATCTAAAGGGTTGTGTACCGGGCTATACGAATTTCTGCATTGGTTCATGGCTGCCAGACGTGGCCTTTGAGACAAATGTGAGGCGCTTCCAGTTTTTTGACACCAAAGTCTCAGAACCACCGCTAGTGTCCGAAGGCGTCAACGGAAGCGTAACGGTGTAATCAGAAAACTGGCATTTATTTGTGTAGCAGGTACTTCAGTCGCAAAAAACATCCAAGATTACCAGCTGTGGCGGCTCGGCTGACGTGTTGGGCATGCCGAAACATCGTCTACCTTGAACGGTTTTGTCACCCATATCTCCTTACAAATGCTGCGAAATGATAGTCCGACAAATAATGGGTTGACAAGAGGGTATGAAAGAGGCTACGAAGAGTTTGGGTGTTGTCGGTGCGGTCCACCTTCCAGCATAGGATCCACGTGACTCCCTTCAGGCTTTTCTGAGGGCATTGTAGGAAATAGCGGCTAATCAGTGTCAGCAGTGATAGTGCTGCCAGGTCACATGCAGACTGTCCGATTGAGCGCTTGGCGGTATATCAAAGAGTGCTTGTCATAGAGAAGCACCAGCCCCCTTACTCTTCTTTTCATTTTACGGTCCACTTTGTGGCTGCAAAATACTGATGCTGCTATAGTTGAGGACGATGGCAATGGCGATAATGACGATAGAAAGAAGGTTGAATGGTGATGACCGAGTGTTCCCGATAAACCAAAACTTCATATAAGCTAACAACTACCAAAGAGCAACGTAATCTTCTGGGTCAGATGTTGGTGTGCGACGCATACATCGACTGCCAAATCACGCACCCCAACTAAAATACGCGATGTGTGGGATTTGTTTAAATGGAGTTTGCCCAACTTTAAAAACCAGAATCAACTGCATTATAAAGTAGGGTAGTTATAAAAATAGAGTGGTGCTCAATGAGAAAAGGACTATTCGGATGGTCCTAACTAATATTCCGCCGACACGGTCACCGGAGATAAAGACGGAAGGTTTGCGATGGTGCGTAAATATTACCTTTTGAAGTAGTAAACTCCATTATCACGTAGTTGAAGAGACAGAAGGTCTATAAGTCAATTAAGAATCTGTCTAGGATGCATGATGTGAAGGAATTTGGAGCCGATACACCCATATTGCTTCCCGTAAATTTGTATATTTTTGCAGTATAGAATCATTTACGTTGAAATGTAGCCAAATTATGGATTTAAATGTGATCGGCAATACATAAGGTCCACTAAAGGGAACTACTTATGTGGTAGATTGCAGTGATATTGCATTCATTGGGTGAGGTCCGCAATCACTCAGGAATGACAAAATTTGCATAAAGAATAGTACGAAACATGTCTGAAGTTTGTGCATTAATGGAATTTCGGAAATGTTTTTTATTAGCTGAGCAGACGTCTGCTTTGATCATCCACTGAAGACACACGGCTGTCCGATTCATTACAGAAGTTGATTAGACTGTGTCCGGATGCAAACTTCGTTCAACGTGGTTGTTGACATAGCACGGCCAATTGTAGTATAAAATTGGGTGTTCAGAAAGGTGAAAAATCAAGTGTTGGTGACGGCCATTGGTGTGGCACATATTCTGTCACATCCGGGTTTTGAAGGAATGATGCATCCTTAGATAGTTTGTATTGTGTGCAGATCTAGTCAAAAAGCTTCTCGATAATCGCCAGTGGTTTGATGGGACAGTCATGCAAATTGACGCCAAAATTTCCACGAACTGTCCGAGTGCTCAGGCGAATCCTAAGAACTAAGTTTTATCTATGTTTACATTCCTAGAATAGACGTAAATATATTTATCAGCTTTTATTCTAAAGTAGTGGTTCATGAGTGGATTTGCCCACCCATGTCTGACATTCATAAGAATCAAATCCTCCTACATTTGTTTGAAGGTTACTAGTGACACTTGCATAACAGTGTAGAAAACGGTGTAATTTATCACCCTACTATGACTGACTGCTATCACCCCCAACTATAACAAACCGTGGAAATATCTTTCAAAAATCACAAAAAGAAACCAAACGTCACAGGTAGCTTGATGGAAGCTTTCACTTTTTTTGGGATAACAGGAGAACCCTCTAAATGCTGAACCTCTCACAGCGTGCTGGCCGGAAACAGTTCATACGCAAAACTGCCTTTTAAAGAGGGTGAAGCAAACCAGCGAAACCGATGATATGCGAGCAGTTAACTTATCATATGCGAGTTGTTTCATCCGAAGATCATTCGGCGGGCTCCAGCATCAATGATATGGTGTTTCCACCAGAGTCGAGAAATGCCCCAAAGATTTCGATAGTCAAACACCGAAACTGTTTCACGGTCCTCCTCATGCAGCAGCCGGGTTTTTGACCCTGAAGAGCAATGAACAACTACAGACCCGACAATCGAGATATTAGTTGATGTCATAACTGCGCTGCGGCTGATGAAAGATCAGGAAAACTGCTCTACCATTCCTACTTCAGATAGAAATATCACCTCTAACCACACCACCTGGATTAGTACAGCTCTCCAGGCAGATGAATTTCCTTAATCCACTCATAATCAAGGGTGAGGTTAGGGTAGAAATCCACTCGCTCTTGCAGTAACAATAATAATTTGCAGATGTGAAGCACACTCAAACCACGAGGTAGAATCATTTAGAGAATTTAATATTGTCCGTAGTACAATAGCTTCAGATCCAAAAAAGAGCTATGCCTTCTTCACACTCAATATCTTTAGTGTATGACATGGGATTGTAGGCCGAGTCTTTTCTGATCGTGACATGAACAAAGTAAAAAAAAGA